GAGATGGAGTGGCAGACCCACTGGGAGGGCGATGAGAGCATGGCTAAGAGGGTGGCCCAGCTGTGGGATTGTCCCTGGGGTGCCTGGGGAGGGAACAAAGGGCAGACTGCACATGAAGGCGAGCAGAGCAGCCTGGAACATCTCTGAGTCTATCTGCAGTGGTCCCAGGGCCAGTGGGGAATTGTCCATGCAGGGTGAGCATTGGGACCCTGCCATGCAATCCAAGCAACCACTTGGGGTGTTGATGCATTGGGTTGTTGTCGATGTTCTGACTTATGGAGACTCTAAGGCGACCCTTAGATAGCCACCATGGCATATTGGTTTAAGCGTACTCAGGAGACCAAGGTTTCATTCCCACTTAGGCCATGGAAAGCCACTGGGTGACCTTAGACAAATCACTCTCTCTCCATTGCTTTCCCCAGAGGCTGAGAGCATGCAACTCACCCAAGGTCACCCAATGGATTTCATGGCCAAGCAGGGAATTGAACCCTGATCTCCAGACATAGTCCAACACACAAACCACTACACCACACTGGCTAGACAATAGGAAACCCCAAAACGGGAGTTCTAGTGGCACTTTGAAAAATACCAGATTTATTCTGGCAGGAACTTTTGTAGATTACAGTCTACATCTTTGGACATGTTGATGGAGCAGACCGAAGGTGGGCAAAGTGGGATCTAGGCTTGCCAGGCAAAATCAGGGACAAAGTTCCTGGACCTTTAATGATGTAGAAGAGACAATCTCAGTTGATGTGTCCCTTATTATAACTGACAACCCTAATGTGGTCCTAATGTGTTTATGGCCCCCAATGTCTCCAGACTCCCTACAGTCCCATTTTTCTGGCCACTTCTCTTTAAAGCTGCTCTGGGATCTCAATGCAAAAATCTGAGACCAAGGGATGGCTCCCAGTGACGTGAAAAGCAGCAGCCCTTAGTAATATCACAGAGGATAAAGCCATTAAGGATATATTAAACACAGTTGCTCAGAGGATGAAATTCATTTTTTCAAAAAATCAAGCCTAATACAAACATGGGAATGCACACTTTTGGGACCATGCTCTTGGCCAGAAATTCCTCCCTGTCTGGAGAAGAGAGTCCAGATCGTGGGATCTGGGAACTCTAGTAGCAGCCATCAACAACTACATGGGATATGCATTAACAATTAATTCACCTCCCCTTGGGCATTTTTTTCTTGTTGTCCAGACTGTTCCATCGCCCACCTGGTGCAACCCATCCTTTCATCTCCTTGCTCCCTTGGGGGCTCGCATTGTTGTCAGACAATGGATGGCGGGCACATGCTGCCCGCGAGAGCTGCGTGTGGCACGGTTACAAACAACACTCGTTCCAGGCACAGCTGCATCCCAGACAACAAAGGGCAATGTGTGAAGAAGAGGAGGAGGAGGAAAAGATGTTTGTGAAGCCATTCTGAGTGGCTCCGAGCCCAGAAGAGTACCAACCATTTTGTGCAACGAATGAAGGAAATCTCCAACAAAGCATCCTCCTCAAAGCTCCTATTGCAGGAGTGGAGATCATGTGCTTCTCCAGATATTGATTGATTGATTGATCTCCCTGAATAAGATCCAAGGTGGCTCACACATGAATTATAACAAGGTCCATGAATTCAAAATGGGTCATATGTCTTAAAACTGGTATGTAAAGAGAGCTTGCTGCACCTTTGAGACTAACTGAAAGAAAGAAGTTGGCAGCATGAGTTTTCGTTGACTTACATCTACTTGCTCAGATGCATTCCACAGATGGGCCAAATGCACCTGAGGAAGTAGACTCAAGTCTACGAAAGCCCCTGCAGCAAACTTCTTTCTTTCAGGTAGTCTCAAAGGTGCTACAAGATCTCTTTGCATACTGATTTTGCAGACTAACACGCTATATCTTTGACCTTAAAACTGTTGTTGTTGTTGTGGGCCTTCAAGTCATTGCCAACTTATGGCACCCCTAAGGTGAACCTATCACAGGGTTTTCTTGGCAAGGTTTGTTCAGAGGAGATTTGCCACTACCTTGCTCTTAGGTTGAGAGGGTGTGACTTGCCCAAGATCACCCAGTGGGTTTCCACGACCAAACAATATAAGATCAATTAAAACCATGGCAAGAACAAATTTTAAAATGCATCACACCCACACTACTTACAGACCTTATCATATAGACAATCAGTAACCAAACGCTTGTACAAATAAAAAGGTGTTTCCCTGCTGGCAGATGGAAAGCAAGAAGGGGGCCAGCCTGGTACCTTGTGGCAGAGAGTCCCATAGCCTGGGAGCAGCTACCAAGAAGGCCCTCTTTCTTATCCTCCCCAAATGTGCCCGTGAACATGGTGGGACTGAGAAAAAGCCCTCCCCAGATGATCTTGGAAAACTGGACAGGCTCATGTGTTGGATATTGTTGGACTGGATCTCCCAGCATTCTTCCCCATTGGCTATGCTGGCAGGGGTTGCTGGGAGTTGCAGTCCAACAACATCTGCAGGGATGGCTGACCCACGCACCCACCCAGGGACCATGGTGAACTGGGCCTTTTCCAATCTTGGTGTGGCAAAAGTGCAAATAAACTCCCTTTTCTGTTTCCTATGACCTAGAAAAGAATCAGGTTTCCACCACCTTCTTTCTTTGAACATCTCAAGAACCTTCTGAGCCAGCTGATGAAAGGAGGTCCAGAAAAAGAACACGTTGCACCTTGAAGGAGAAGTTGACTTTGGCTTTCAGAAGAACACGAGGCCCTTTGACTTCGGAGAGGCCCTTGTGGTGATGAGCACACATTTCTCAGAGGTTCCTGACTTGACTCCAAGACACTCATCTGAAACTTCACTCCAGAAGGACTTGGCGATGAAGACCGGTTTAATTCAGGTAAAACTTGGCTGCCGGCCAACTGGAGTTGGAAAGCAACTGAAGAGCAGCTGGTACGTCACCTGGGGCACTCACCTGCCAAAGTGTGGGGCACTGTTTATATAAGGAAGGACTCTCTTGCCTTCGGAGAGCAAGACCACAGCAAGGGCGGCTGAGTGGCAACATGGAGGTCTATCACAAGATGGAGGGCGGCGGTAGCGGCACCACCAGCAAAGAGGCTCTGATGTCTGAAGCACCACCGGTGAGTCTCGCTCCTTCTTCAGGGAGAGATTTTTTTGCCCCTGAAGGTAATAGCTGCAAAGAAATCCATGAGAAGGGATTAGCTGGAGAAACAGAGAGAGCCAATGCAGCCCACAACATTTGGGGAGAACTTTCTGATGCTTCACTCCTTTGTTTGGTTAGCATGGGCCAACATGCAAGAAGAGAGACTCTCTGGCCATTTCCGCAGCTCCTGTTCATTGCATGAAGGGTTGTGAAGGAGAACGTCCCAACAGACGGCACCCCATGGGCCAGATCAATCTTACTGGGACACTCATGCTGGCAACAGCAGTAAATACTTTATTGGACATTACACAAGGAGGTATCTAGTCCCCCTTTATGCATTTTCCTAATTTCCTAGTGGGAGCCTAGGAATACCTGGGAACAGCTCTAACGAGCCTGGTTTCAGCATGTAGTCTGAAGGCACAGGCTGTAGGATAAATGTCACATTTAGACTTGGGTCCCATCTCCACAAGAATTCATTATGTATATGCAAATATTCTAAAATCCAAAAAACTCAAAAACTCCAAAACATTTCTTGTCCCAAGCATTTAAGATATGGAAGATTTAACCTGTACTCATTTATGAGTACTTAGGAAGATTTGCATCCTTTTTGTCAAACTGTGTTTCTTTGCTGATGCCACAGGTCTACTCAGCATCCCCCCAGCTGCCTGGACTTCCTTGCAAGAAGCCCCTGATCATTGTTGTAGTGGTGGTTGTGATCGTCTTGGTAGTCCTGGGCTTCCTACTGATGGGGTTGCACATCACAGAGAAGCACACAGAAACGGTAAGTGTAGTTGGAGGCCATCTCCGAAGATGTTGAGTCTACTGCATGGTTGTACTCACATGCTCCAAAAAATGCCATGACTATTTTCCATCCTGAAGCCTGAGATGCCTCCCCAATGCATATCCTCTCCTTTAGAGCTGGTTGTAGCTGGGAGTTAAGAATGCTTTGTTGCAAAATGCAACAAAATCTACAAAAGAACAATACCATTATTGGCCAGCCAAAATGCACAAAATATATCGTGCAAGCTTTCAAAGCTCCATTGGCTTCTTCATCAGGCAAAAAATTGTAAGCAATCATTGCTGTTGTTGCATGCTTTCAACTCATTTTTGACTTGTGATCCTAAGGCCACCATGGGGTTTTCTGGGGCTGAGAGGGTGTGACTCACCCAAGGTTACCCAGTGGTTTCCATGGTCAAGTGGGGAATCGAACCCCAATCTCCAGAATCCTAGTCCTACTCTCAAACCACTACACCATGCTGGCTCTCTAAGCAATCATATAAGAGAAGAAAAGTGACAATGGTTGTTGCAGGACTACATTTTGTCTCAGATGTTGTTTCTGTTGCAGTTCAGTTGTTCCAAAGGCCTTTCAATGCAGGCAGAGGTTGCTTCCCTTCTTGGCCATGTGGGGACCAGGGACAAAGGACAATAAAAGACAAGTGATAACATTTCAACTCCTTTAGCAACAGAAAAGCAACTTCCCTTGAGATCCAGGCTGTGCAAAGCTAACTGCTCCTTACTTGGACAAAGAATATCGAACTTCTTGAGAAGTCCTGTACTGTTACATCTGGAAACCTTTTAGGTGCTGTATAGGTAAAATGTGTCAGTTGTAGTCCAAATGAAAGAGTTTTGCTTTTGTTGGAGGTAAAAACCTCAAAGAGTTAAGTCCCAGCCCATTAGTATAGGATGGCACCAGGACAGGTAAAGCAGTGTCAAACTGCATTAATTCTGCAGTGCAGATGCAGCCTAGGTTTATATTTGTTAATCCACTGCAACTTTCTCAGTGCTCTTCTTCAAGAAATAACAGGTCTTGACTTTTTGTATCATCACAGGTATAATAAATATTTATGTCCACATATGATGCTACTGTTCTCCTCTTTTGCTTTGTAGGTCCTGCAGATGACCATCCAAGGATTGGATGGCAAAGGCTCCCCGCAGCACCTTTCCATGAGCCAGAAGGAGAGGCTGGCAACCTTCCACGTCTACATCAAGGCCAACTCTTCTGCCACGGTGGTGTATGACTTCAGTAACGTAAGCAACTGCTTCATCACAATGAAAATCTTGTATGGTTTTATGCTTATCACAGCTGCTGCAAAGCTCTTTCTCTGAGGCCTGTTTAGGACTGTAAGCTCTCACTTTGAGAATAGGTTTCTGGTCCCCATGGTTGCAGAGTTTCAGACATCATGCTTTCTCCATTTGGATAGTGCTGTGTAGTCTTTTGGCTAGGTTGTACAGTGGGCCGTTGGTATCCCCTGGGTTTTACTTTCAGGACCTGCTGTGGATACCAAAATCTGTGGATGCTCAAGTCCCACTAAATACAAAGGGGTAGTAAAATGATGTCCCTTATATTTGTTATTTGGAATCTATATCTTTTTGGGATATTTTCAAGGCATGGATGATTGAATCCATGGATATGGTGGGCT